TTGCTGGTTCAGCAGGGCACCCGGACCAGTGCACTTTGTGTGGAGCGCTGTGGAGCGCTGCTGCGCTACAGTGCCGGCCACCGGCTGCACCGGCTGCACCGGCTGCCAGCTGCACCGGCTGCTGGCTGCACCAGCCAAAACCTCTGCCTGGCGTCCCGCATCTCTTTTACACCTGGGAATTTCCCCGTTCTGTGGGCAACAAAGATCCATCTGGAAATGTGGCCCTGACTCACCCTCCGCGCATTCACCGAGAGCTTCAATCCTGGGTTGTTCTCACCATGCCATCTTGAGTAATCCACTGGAAACCTCTTTAACATCTAGAACTAGATGTTCTAAAATAGGATGCATTTGTCCTTCATATACACTATATGCTCAGCAAAGTCAAAGAAAACGCATGGACAATAAGGTACAGTGGTCAATCTTGCCTCACTATAAGCACATTGGTATAAAGCCCTTTGCACTTTATTCTCCTCCTTTTCCCCTGACCCAAATGTAATGATGTATACTGCTTAGAGAAGTGGTTTGATCATTTCATTTCCAAAAGGTGATACTTCAGTGAATTTTAACAAAAGGATATCTACAAAATGTGTTATTTACTACCTCTACTTTTTAACATACTTTGTGCACTTCTAAACATCTAGAAAGTCTAGATGTTTTAAATAAGCACTTGTTTGTCCATTAAATACATGGTAGATTTTTTTTTTAAATAGTTGTGGTATAATATTTACTATAACATGCTTTCCTCACTCTACAGTATTATATTTTGCAGAGTTTTTCATGTTAGTACATGCGGATTTTATTTACCTATTATAGTATTCCATAGAATGGATATACCATACTATATTTAACAGTTACCCTATTGATATTTATTTGAATTGTTTCTGATTTTTTTGTTCTTATAAATAGAGTTAATGTGATCAGCATCATGCATATGCTTCCCAAAACGTGCGTGCACATTTGTCTATGATGAAAAATTCTTTGGAAGAAGAGCATGCACATTTACATTTTAATAGACAATGCCAAGTTTCCTTCCAAAAAGATCATACTAATTTATAATTTCACCAATAATATAAAGGTATCTTTTTCTTTATTGCCTTAACACTTGATATCAGTCTTTTTTATATTTACCAATCTTGTGGGCAAAAAATGTCTCCATATTTTAATTTGGTTTTCCGTATTACTAGAGAGGTTGAAGACCTTGTGGAAGGTCGATAGCATTAGTTATCTGTGAGTTCCTTTGGTCCACATTTGTTTATTGAGAGATTAATGTGTGCCAATCACTGTTTTAAGCACTGGAGTTAAACAGTGAACAGAAAAAAATTCCTACCCACATGAAGCTTATATTGTCCATTCGTAACTTCTGCCCATTTTTCTATTGGTTTGTCATTTTCTTTCTTATTTTCAGGCTATATTCTAGATGTTGTGGTATATATGTTGCAAATATTTCTTACAGTATGTTCAGCATTGCTTTATGGTATCTTTTTTTCCACACAGGATTTTTTTTTTTTTTTTAGACAAGGTCTCATTGTAGCCTAGGTTGGATAAAAGTGGTACAAGCGCAGCTCACTGCAGCCTCAACCTTGTGGGTTCAGGTGATCCTTAGCTGCCTGAGCTGGGACCATGGGCATGCACCACCATGTCTGCCTAATTTTCAAAATTTTTTTTGTAGAGCCAGGCGTGGTGGCTCATGCCTGTAATACCAGCACTTTGGGAGGCTGAGGCGGGTAGATCACCTGTGTTCAGAAGTTTGAGACCAGCCTGGCCAACATGGTGAAACCCTGTCTCTACTAAAAATACAAAAATTAGTCGGGTGTGGTGGCGAATGCCTGTAATCTCAGCTGCTCTGGAGGCTGAGGCTGTAGAATCACTTAAACCCAGGAGGCAGAGGTTGTAGTGAGCCAAGATTGTGCCACTGCATTCCAGCTTGGGCAACAAGAGAGAAACTCCGTCTCAAAAAAAATTTTTTTTCTTTTTGTAGCAATGAGGACCTGTTGTGTTGCCCAGGCTACAAAGGATTTAAGTTATTATGGCAAAATATTAATCTTTTCCTTTTGAAGTGCATTTTAATGTCTTGTTTAGGAATCCTTTTCTCCTAGAATTTACTTTTTTTTAATTAGAGATGAGGTCTTACTAGCCCAGGCTGGTTTTGAACCCCTGGGCTCAAGTGATCCTCCTGCCTCAGCCTCCCAAAGTACTGGGATTACAGGTGTGAGCCACTGCACCCAGCTACTGCTAGGATTTAGACATAATTACCTATATATTGCCCTTAGTAATTCTTGATTAAATAGTTATTTTATAATTTTGGTTATGTTTTTTAATCTGGAAAAATTAGGGTCATTATTTCTTCAGATTCTTTCTTTAGCTCTTGTTCTCTTCTCCCTCTGGGATTCCAGTTACATATGTAACATTTACTATTTCCCCACAACCCTTAGATGCTATTGTTTTAGGGTTTTTTCCACAGTTTTTTCCTTTTTGCGTTTTCAGTCTGTGTAATTTCTATTGTCTTATCATCAAGTTCACTGACTCTTTCCTAGACAGTACATGTTTTATTGAGGAACCTATTGAAAGTGTTCATTTTCTGTTACCATGTTTTTGGTTTTTATCATTTCTCTTTGAGTCTTTTTATAGTTTCCATCCCTGAAATTATGTATCTGATTTTGCGTGTTACCTATCTTTTCCATCAGAGTCTTTGACATTTTAATCGTAATTATTTTAAATACCTAAGCTTTTGGATCCAGCATCTGTCATATTTGAGTCTGGCTCTGGTGTTTGCTTATTCTCTTCACACTGTATTTTTTCTTGCTTTCCGGGATGTTTTCTACTTTTTGGTTACAGCTGGACATATTTATTATAAGAGCCAGTAGACACTGAGGGATAGGGATTTGTAATAATCTAGTAATGAATTGGGCTGTTGTTTGAAGTCTCTTGTTGCTGTTTGTGAGGTTTGTTGTTGCTGTGGGTACCAGAGACTTCAAACTCCTCTAGCAACTTGCTTTGTCTCCTCTCTTGGATTTGGTTCTTCCCTTTGTACTGTTTCCCAAAGAGTCTGTGTGTTGCGGCTGTCCCAGCTGCAGTTTACTGTTATTCTTGGAGACTTGGTGGTAGGGTGTGGGAGAGGGGGTTGTTCTCTAATGATCTGCTTGTCCATATTTGAACTGGTACAGTGGGCCTGTGTTTGTCCTTTAGTTCAAATGGGTAGCCAGTTCTTCTGAACACTGTAAATTGAATGAGAAATTAATTTTTCCTCACTCATAATTGTCATCTTTATCTGCCTTTTTATCTAGTTGTCATCTTTGTCTATCTTTTATCATATAACATACAAAATTCCTGTTTATATATACAGTATACACAGGTCTGTTTTGGGACTCTGTTTTGTCTCAGTGATGTATTTCTCTCCATTCTCAAACTGTTTTATTACTACATTTTGTAATATATTTTGATGTCCAGTAGTGTACCTCCTCCTTTATTATTATTTTCTTTTTTATTTATTTTTTACAAGATGAGATTGGTGTGCAGTGACACAGATCATAGCTCACTGCAGCTTTGAAGTAAAGCAATCCTTTCACTTCAGCCTCCCAAGTTGCTGGGATTACAGGCATGAGCCACCACACCCACCTCATTGTTCATCATTTAAAAAACTGACTTGGCTATTATTTTTTTTGTTTGTTTTTGAGACGGAATCTCGCTCTTTCACCAGGCTGGAATACAGTGGTGCGATCTTGGCTCACTGCAACCTCTACCTCCTGGATTCAAGGGATTCTCCTGCCTCAGCCTCCTAAGTAGCTGGGATTACAGACACTCCCTGCCCAGCTAATTTTTATATTTTTAGTAGAGACAGGGTTTCACTATGTTGGCCAAGATGGTTTCCATCTCTTGACCTTGTGATCTGCCCACCTCAGCCTCCCAAAGTGCTGGGTTTACTGACCTGAGCCACCTTGCCTGGCTGACTCGGCTATTCTTAAAGATTTTTTCTGATGAATTAGATTCATCCTGTCAAGTTTCTGGAAATCTGTTGGGATTCAGTTGAGATTCTGTTGGATTTACAAATGGAATTATGAAGAGAATTGACATCTTTTTAACTTTGCATTTAATTTTCCCATCCAGAAACTTTGTATATCTATTTGGGTCCACATTTACATGAAAGAAAAGTTTAATATTTTTCTTCATAATACTCTTATACATATGCTGAAGCCTATGAACCAAAATGTACCAGGGACACATTTGTAGTCAAAAGAAAGGTTAAGTTTATTTAGCTTGCTGCATCAAGAGAAAAATATACCATAGAAGTACTGTGGGAATATCTCAACAGGGGAATTGGAAGGGCTTCTCATAGGGTTTAGGCTTGTAGCAGATGATTCAAAGGAGGATTAAGGAAGCCAGAGGCCAGCAGGACATGGTGGTTCATGCCTGTAATCCCGGCACTTTGTGAGGCTGAAGGCGGAGGATCATTTGAGGCCAGGAGTTCAAAACTAACCTGGACAACATAGCAAGACCCCATCTTTAAAAAAATAAAAATTTAGCCAGATGCAGTGGTGCCTACCTGTAGTTCCAGCAGCTCTGGAGGCTGAGGTGGGAGGATGACTTGGGCTCAAAAGGTGAAGGCTACAGTGAGCCATGATCATGCCACCCATGTAGCCCAGGGGACAGAGTGAGACCCTGTCTCTTTAAAGAAACAGAAAGAAGCAGAGGCCAGTTTTGGATCACCATCCCTCTGGAAATAATATGCTTCTAAAATGCTCAGTTTTGAATATGTGATACTCTTATTCTCTCCTCAGTTAAAAATGATATATTAAAATGAAGTCTTGCCCCTTGTAGCAGTAGTGAATATTACATGCTTTATATGTGAGTGATTTATTAATCAGTTTTATCTGGTAACAAAGTGATCATTTCTATATATACAAGTGGAAATAGGATCACCTTTTGATGTTGTATTTTTCCATTTTCTATATGTATCAGCATAGTGGTTGCATTAAAATCCATTTGTATTTTTTCCCTTCTAGCAAAATCCTTTATATGACACAGAAAGATGCAAGGTATTCCAGTGTGATCTGACAAAAGATGATCTTCTGGATCATGTACCACCAGAATCTGTGGATGTTGTTTTGTTGATATTTGTGCTCTCAGCTATTCATCCTGATAAGATGCACCTTGTCTTACAAAACATTTACAAGGTTAGTGATTTGGGCCTGCACTTGAGGGTTGGACAGTCCTGATTCTTTTGCTTACCCTCTCTCATGAGGCTCATGTACTGTCTAAATTCACATGGTCTCTCCATCCTCACTAGGTAGACTGTAGTCAGTGTTTAGAAAGGGGTCCTCTGGCATAAAACATCCACTCTAAATTCTGATTTGTGTAGTGGCATGGCTGCTCTTTAGAGCTTGGCCAGCCCAGGGACAAGGATGATTTTGCAGTTACCTGGAATCCATGGAGTCCTGCTATGAGGTGAGAGGAGTTATGGTTCAGTGGTCAAGAGTCCACAGTTTGGCCAGGTGCAGTGGCTCACATCTGTAATCCCAGCACTTTGGGAGGCTGAGGCAGGTGAATCACTTGAGGTCAGGAGTTCGAAACCACCCTGGCCAACATAGCGATACCTTGTCTCTAAAAAAAGAGTTAATGCATGATCACTTAACCCTTTTGAGTATTGGTTTCCTTATCTCACATGAGAATAATAATCACATTCCTTTGTCTCACAATTGGGTGAAGATACAATGAGAAAATGTATGGTGAAGCTGTCAAATGCTAGTCGTGTATCAGTCATTAGCACCGTCATTGAGCTACATATTGTGGCACAGTGAAATGAGAGCTGAGACTCAGAATGAGGAAAACCAACCTGAATCAGTAAAAAGCCAAAATGATATTCTGTTTTTTTTTAAAGAAAGAGTTGAGGAACCGCCATCTTCCAGTAATTCACGAAAATGACGAACACAAAGGGAAAGAGGAGAGGCACTCGATATATGTTCTCTAGGCGTCTTAGAAAACACGGAGTTGTCCTTTGGCCACGTATATGTGAATCTATAAGAAAGGTGCTATTGTAGACATCAAGGGAGTGGGTACTGTTCAAAAAGGAATGCCCCACCAATGTTACCATGGCAAAACAGTGTTCCCCAGCATGCTGTTGGCATTTCTGTAAACAAACAAGGGCAAGATTCTTGCCAAGAGAATTAATGTGCATATTGAGCACATCAAGCTCTCTAAGAGTTGAGATAGCTTCCTGAAATGCGTGAAGGAGAAGGATCAAAAAAAGAAGCCAAAGAGAAAGGTACCTAAGTTCAAGTGAAGTGCCAGCCTGCTCCACCCAGAGAGGATGCACTGTGTGAGAACCAGTGGGAAGGAGCCTGACTGAGCTGCTGGAACCTATTCCCTATGAATTCATGGCATAATAGTTGTTAAAAAAAAAAGAAAAGAACTCTGGACTGTTAAAAAAAAAAAGTTGAATACAGTTTGAGTACTAGGAGATGGTGAATAAAATGTTGTAAGAAAGTGCTTTGATGAGGATAACACTTTTATTTATTGTCTCTAACACTTTATTTTTTTGAGACAGAGTCTTGCTGTGTCACTCACACTGGAGGGCAGTGGCATGGACATGGCTCACTGCAACCTCAACCTCCTGGGTTCAAGCAGTTCTCCCACCTGAGCCTCTCAAGTAGCTAGAACTACAGGCACACACCATCATATCCAGCTAATTTTTAATTTTTTGTAGAGATGTGGTCTCACTATATTGCCCAGGTTGGTCTCTAACACTTTAATCCTGTGACACTGGACATTCCAGAGTGCTCTTGGAAGTACTCAAAAAGTGTCTTCAGGGCTCAGCAAGGTGGTTCATGCCTGTAATCCCCACACTTTGGGAGCCTGAGTTGGGCAGATCACTTGAGGTGAGGAGTTTGAGACCAGCCTGGCCAACATGGTGAAACCTCATCTCTACTAAAATTAAAAAATTAGCTGGGCATGATGGCAGGCACCTATAATCCCAGCTACTTGGGAGGCTGGGGCTTGAGAATCACTTGAACATGGAAGGTGGAGGTTGCAGTGAGCTGAGATCATGCCGCTGCACTCCGGCCTGGGCGACGGAGCAGAACTTCATCTCAAAAAAAAAAAACCAAAAGTGTCTTAGTGTTGTGGAGTCCTGACCGAAGTTAATATCTTTTTAACTAATAGGCCATTTTGGTTCCGTATTATGTGTATTTCAGTCTGTCCCCTTAATAATGATCACAAATTCATTTTAAGTCCTAATTTAATCAGGTTTTATTTGGACAGGGTTCTCCAAAGTCACATTTAACCTGCTTTTGTTTCATAGGTATTAAAACCAGGAAAAAGTGTCTTGTTTCGTGACTACGGGCTGTATGATCATGCCATGCTTAGGTTTAAAGCTGGCAGCAAACTTGGAGAAAACTTTTATGTTAGACAAGATGGGACCAGATCATATTTTTTTACTGATGGTAAGAGGAATGGAATCTAGTCTTTAAATGTTTTATTCTTTGTTTCTGTTTATTTGATTGTATTATCACTGCAAGGCTGCTTGGAGAAGGCTTGCGACTACACTTAGCACACATGCACAAGACCCCGCAGCAAGCCATCTGCTGCACAGCAGTCAGCACCTGGAAGGCACAGACCTGGCCCCTGCCCTTGAGGAGCTCACAGACCTTCTCTGGTGTCAGTGATTCCCTTAGTGGACAGCCTCGACATACTATGTTGATGCCCTACTAGGAACTGTGCTGGAATAAGAGGGAGGGCAAGTCAGAAACTTACCCTTGTCTAGTTAAAAATAAAGCTAATCAGTATAATGCCTTGAGCTTACTTTCCCATGGCACAAAGTCAGGAAACCTTTTTCTGTAGAATTGATTGGATCTGTTTTGGGTTTTTGTTGTTGTTGTTTTTGAGACAGAGTCTTATTCTGTCACCCAGGCTAGGGTGCAGTGATAGAGTTGGGGTTTTAACCATGTTGCCCAGGCTGGTCTCGAACTCCTGAGCTCAAATGATCTGTTTGTCTCAGCCTCTGAAATAGGTGGGATTATAGGCATGAGTCACTATACCTGGCCTGGATCTGTTTTTAACTAAATATGCAAATCTGCTGTAAAGAGGTGTTTGTTTATTTTTGAGACAGATTCTTATTCTGTTGCCCACACTGGAGGGCAGTGGTATGATCTTGGCTCACTGCAACCTCCACCACCCAGGCTCAAGTGATTCTCATGCCTCAGCCTCCCAAGTAGCAGGACTTACAAGTGTGTGCCACCACACCCAGCTAATTTTTGTATTTTTAGTAGAGATGGGGTTTTGCCATGTTGACCAGGCTGCTCTTAAACTCCTGGTCTCAAGTGATCTGCTCACCTCAGCCTCCCAAAGTTGTGGAACTGCAGGCATGAGCCACCATGCCCAGCCCAAAGAGGTATTTAAAAAGTCGTTTTTGGCCGGGCATCGTGGCTGACGCCTATAATCCCAGTACTTTGGGAGGCTGAGGCAGGTGGATCACCTAAGGTTGGGAGCTCAAGACCAGCCTGACCAACATGGAGAAACCCCATCTCTACTGAAAATACAAAATTAGCCGAGCGTGGTGGTGCATGCCTGTAATCCCAGCTACTAGGGAGGCTGAGGCAGGAGAATGGCTTAAACCTGGGAGGCAGAGATTGTGGTGAGCCGAGATAGTGCCATTGCACTTCAGCTTGGGCAACAAGAGTGAAACTCTGTCTCAAAAAAAAAAAGTCATTTTTGATAAGAAAATGTGGAACATTATTTCAGTCTTCTAGGTGTCTTGAACAAAGTCTGCCTAATCATCTAGACTGGGAGATAATTACCTTCTTAACCTCTATTTTAACAAACATTTTTCATCTTGAAATATTCTTTTAGATACCAAAATGAGCTGAAATTGAGTGATTACTACTAAAGCTGCAAAATTATCTGGGAGGCTGAGGCAGGAGGATCACTTAAGCTCAGGAGTTCAGTAACAGCCTGGGAAACAGTGAAACTTTGTCTCTACTAAAAATTTAAAAAATATATTAGCCAGGATTGGTGGCATGCACTTGTGGTCCCAGATGCTTAGGAGGCTGAGGCAAGAGGATTGTTTGGCCCCAGAAGACAGAGGTTGCGGTGAACTACGATCATGCCACTGCACTCCAGCTTGGGTGACAAGGTGAGAAAGCTGTCTCAAATAAAACAGAACAAAATGAAAAAAAACTGCAAAATTATTAAAATAGGTTAAAATTCAAAAGCAGTTTTAATTTGTAACATCTAAACCAATTGTAAATCTTGAGAAGATGCAGTGATACCTGCAAAGTGTTTCAGAGCGTGTTCTCTGGAGCAGTGCTCTTAGTCAGAGTCTTTGTTTTTGCCGTCTAGCCATTTATCCTACTTGTTTCATTTAATGTGTAGTGATGTATTATTTGAGTTAGATTTTCCTGCAGCTAGGTCACCATTGGTTATATTTCTCCACTCTGATCACAGATTTTCCTCCTTCCTGTTAGGAAGAATAAGATATTTGAGGTAAACAAATTGAGCACATGTAGACCTTGTAGGAATGTTGCCAGTTTTTATGTTTTTGTTCGGAAATGGGAAATAATAAGATAAATTTTAAAAAGGAATATAATCGGCTGGGTGCAGTGGTTCACACCTGTAATCTCAGCACTTTGGGAGGCCAACATGGGTGGATCATTTGAGGTCACGGGTTTGAGACCAGCCTGGCCAACATAGTGAAACCCTGTCTCTACTAAAAATACAAAAAAAATTAACCAGGCATGGTAGTGTGTACCTGTAGTCCCAGCTACTTAAGAGGCTGAGGCAGGAGGATCACTTAAGCCCAGAAGGCGGAGGTTGCACTCTAGCCTGAGTGACAGAGCCACACTCTGTCTCAAAAAAAAAAAAAAAAAAAAGAATACTTAATTTAAAAAAGGAATATAGGCCAGTTGCGGTGGCTCACGCCTGTAATCCCAGCATTTTTGAAGGCCGAGGCGGGTGGATCACTAGGTCAGGAGTTTGAGACCAGCCTGACCATTATGTTGAAACCCCATCTCTACTAAGGATACAAAAATTAGCTGGGCGTGGTGGTGTGCACCTGTAGTCCCAGGTACTTGGGAGGCTGAGGCAGAAGAATTGCTGAACCCAGGAGGCGGAGGTTGCAGTGAGCTGAGATTGCAACACTGCACTCCAGCCTGGGAGACAGCAAGGCTCCGTCTCAAAAAAAAAAAGGAATATAACCAGTTTGAAATTGTTTCTTTTTACTCGGGCTTTTGTATCTGAGAATTCATAATAGGGCAAGATGCACACACCAGGTTGTTGTTCACTTTGTTCTGATTAAATTGTTTAATTGAAGGTTTCCGTTTGGGTAGAAGAGGAGGCGTGTATTAGTTCTGTAATCAAAACCTTTACATTGTAGCACTGAGGTTTTCAATTAAAAAATATTAAAATAGTCTCAGCCCTCTATTCCTCCTCTCAGGGACTGCAAAGCAAATGTAATGTTATCAAGACTTTTGAGCATTGTTGATTGATACTTGTCTTACAGCATTCCTGGCCCAGCTCTTTATGGACACAGGTTATGAAGAAGTGGTAAACGAGTATGTGTTTCGAGAGACGGTGAATAAAAAAGAAGGCCTGTGTGTGCCGAGAGTTTTCCTTCAGAGCAAATTTCAGAAGCCTCCTAAGAATCCATCTCCTGTGATCCTGGGCCTTGATCATAAGTCCTGACCTTTCATGAGGTTGGCATTCATACCTCCCCTTGAAGAGGAAATTTAAAATTACTCTTTTGGTCGGGTGCAATGGCTCATGCCTGTAATCCCAGCACTTTGGGAGGCCGAGATGGGGGGATCACCTGAGGCCAGGAGTTTGAGACCAACCTGGCCAACATGTTGAAACCCCATCTGTACTAAAAATACAAAAAAATTAGCTGGACATGGTGGCGGGTGCGTGTAATCCCAGCTACTCGGGAGGCTGAGGTAGGAGAATTTCTTGAAGCTGAGAGGTGGAGGTTGCAGTGAGCCGAGATCATGCCACTGCACTAAGCCTGGGCAACAGAGCGAGACCCTGTTTCATAAATAAATAAAATTACTCTTTTTACTTTACATATTTTTTGAGACAGGATCTTGTGGTGCTCAGGCTGGAGTGCAGTGGTGTGATCAAAGCTCATTGTAGCCTTGACCTCCCTGGGCTCTAGTAATCCTCTTGTCTCAGGCTCCTGAGTAGCTAGGACTACAGGTGTGAGTCACCATGCCTGGCCCTTAATTTTTTTTAATGAGCATGTACGGTAGTCCCCCTTTATCCATGGTTTCACTGAACACAGTTTCAATTACCTGTTTTCAACTGCAGTCAGTTACTTAGATAGTTTGAGATAAGTTATAGGCTCATGACTATAACCCCAGCACTTTGGGAGGCTGAGGCCAGGAGATCCCTTGAGCCCAGGAGTTCAAGACCAGTGTGGGCAACATGGTGAAACCCTGTCTCTACAGAAAATACAAAAATTAGCCAGACATGGTGGCATGTGGCTGTAGTCCCAGCTAGGGTGGGAGAATGGCTTGAGCCTGGAAGGTGGAGGTTGCAGTAAGTCGAGATCATGCTACTGCACTGCAGCCTGGGCAACAAAGCGAGAATCTGTCTCAAAATAAATATATATTTTTAAAGAGAGATCACATTTACCTAACTTTATTACAAAAAGTTAGGATTTGGTACCATCTGTGATTTTAGGCCACCACTGGGGGTTTTGAAACATATCTCCCGCAGATAAGGGGAAACTGCTATGTACTTTTTGTATTAAAAAATAGGAAGTATATGTGTGTTTGTGTGTTAAGGACCTGTAAATAAAACTTCAAGGCCTGAAAAGTAATGAAAATTTTATAGAATAACATAATTTAGCCATATCGTTCACTGTAAAATTCCACAAAGAAAAGCCTAAGGAGTTCGTAGCACATAGAGATCCTTGTCATTACTCATGTGACTCTGTGAGTGTTCCTCTCCTCCAGGCAGCATGTCAGATGGATAGTCATGGAGAAAAATGAGGCCAAGTAGACTAAAATAAGATACTCATATATATTTTTAGCCTAAAGGATTGTTCTTTTTTCTTCTTTTTCCAGTGTCATATTTGCCCATTGGTCTCCACTTTAGTTCATTTATGTATTTCTCAAAACCAGTTGTCCACAAATACTCTGTCAATTGCTCTGTCTGTGCCCAAGAACTCTCCGTGGCTCCCTGCCTGATTGTTGAGACCCCCTGTCATTGGGTCAGTTCCTTGCCACACTGTTTGCCTTGGGGGAGAGAGGGGATGGCCACCACCTGTCCTCCCCTCTGCCCCATTTGTCCAGTGCTGTTTCTCTGAGAAGATGGCTGATGTCTAGTTTAGAGTTAGAATTTCAGAGTTGAGAGGGGTGTTAGAATGGACTGTTCCAACTCCCTCTGGTAAATGAGGAAGCAGTAGCAAAAGGTAAATGATGAGCCCAAAACCATGTAGCTAGTGTTGTGG